CGTAAAGAAAAAAAATACCACTCGGTTGTCACGGTGACGGATGTCCTGTGAAATTGCAATTTGCACGCGTTTTCAACGAGCCACGCGTCAGATCCATTCGAATAATACCCAGCGTAAATGTTACGCTTTATAAACGGGTAGAAACTCTAAAATGCGGCCGAATGACGGCAACTATTGTTCGTTTAAATAAAATTCAAACAAATTTCACTATTTCCTGCTGACATTCGAGGTATTATTAAAAGATAATAAGCTTAAAATTTGTCGTTCAAATAAAGATCGGGCTTCCAAGATACCGTCTGAGTACTAAATGTATGTTCTATAGAGTCATTAGTACGCTTACATATTTCTTTATCACGCGTCATAAATCTGTGCGTCTTATTTCCACCAATGTAGATTAACTTTAACCTCCGTTCTACGTATTCTTCATCCTTTTTTAAATTCTAATGCCCGTTTATCATTGTAGATTAACTTTAATCTTGATTCAACTTGCTCTTATTTTTTTCTAATTCTTAGAACTAAAAAAAAATGAAGAATTAGTTAAATCAAGATTAAAATTAAATTACATTAGTAGAAGCGGGGATAAGGATTACAATAGAAATGTTAATAATGTATCTTTTAAAACCATATGAATACACAAAAAATAGCAAATAAAGGCTATAAACGGTTAATTATAATAGAAAAAGATGAAGCGTAAGTTGAATCGAGATTAAAATTAATTTACATTGATGGAAACAAGCATTAAGTCGACAAATTTTATCAGGTAAGATACGCGTTCGCGAATGTGAAAAAAACAACCTTACATTGATTTTTCTCGACCGATCGATCATCGATACACTTACATCACGATACGTCCGTGCTTTTAAGACAGCCTTGTCTTCGGCCGTGAAGAACGCGTGGACAGGATCGCCACTGTCGTCAGCTTCGCTCATCGCCGGCTAGCCTTGCACTAAACAGTCATTTAGTTCGTTCGCCATAATAACAAAATATTCGCGGGAGAGTTGGTAGAACGCGTTTTAGAAGCCCTGCTGGATTCAACAGGGCACGCGCGGTACTCATGGCCGACAATTCTTTGCCACTTTACCGCGACCTATTAACGATGCCCCCAGTTATTCTTCTGTGGAAATGCCGGATTTACGTAATCCTCTGCAAGAGAAATAACTAACGCATCAATTTTACGTAGACTTTATTTGATTTCTCTTCTATTTAATTTTTTTCTGATATTTTCCAGAATTAACGATTATAGAAACTATAGAATTCAATTTTAAATTGAAAACGGATTTCAAACAAAGTGAATTTTTTTAGAATTTTGTCGCAATAAAATTTCAAAATTGTTTTTGTGTTTTAAAAGTAGAAAATGATAGCGGAAAGACACGGAGAACTAGATACAATGAGTGCAAAAAGTATTCGTACGAAAAAAATATTTTTTAAAAGAACTTTATTTTTAAAAAGTAATTAATTAATAAAGAATAATATAGAATAAAATAAAGAATAAAATAGACTGTATATTTCTTAAAATTATATATACCAAAAAGATGTGTATTAATTATAGAAAATATATCATCTGAAAAATAAGCGAAAATTGTATTGTTGGATGCTCAAAAAGTATTCGTACAGTCGAGAAATTTAGCTTCTAAAATCAGGAATACATGCGAAGCTCGTTTGTTTATGTTAGAACAGAATGTATTCATTGTATAAAATTGCTAATTAATGTTTATTTTTTACAAATAAGATTTTTTTTATAACAAATTTTCTTGTACGAATATTTTTACTCTCACTATATATTAGATCTCCTAAAGATATTCCCTTATTTCTTGGAAATCAACTGTTGTACTTTATTAATACTAAAAACATGACCTGTTTAGATAATAAAAAAATAAAAACTCACAATTCATATATTGGCTTGCAGTTTCTATATAAAATTAGCTGAAAACGAAATAAAATTCGTACCATTTTCTTTTGCAAATTGTGTAATTTAAATAATATTGGCTACATATTATTGATAACATTACATCGTTTTAAATATTTCCTAACTCAGTTCTATTTGTATATTCTTATTTTTTTTATAATATAGCTTTAAATGTAAAATAGGGGTAGGAGAAATTGGGATCAAAATAACATTATAAGTTGTAACACTTACATAAAAAAACATTATAGACAAAATACACAAGCGTAAAGAAAAGAAAGAAATTTGCAATATAAATAATTACAAACTTCTATCTCTTTCTTACGCTTATGTATTTTATTTATAACGTTTTTTAATATAAATGTTACAACTTATCCGTGTTACTTTTGACCCCAGTCTTCCTTACAACGTAAACCAACATACCTGTCTACAAGACAGGTGTCACGATAAGCTAATTTAATTATAGTCTTGCGTTATAGTGTCAAATAGCCCTAGAGAGATGAATCGGAGATGAAAACAATTGCGTATTTTTGGAAAACCCTCAAAAAAAGAAATTGCGCGTTATATGTTTGCGTCTTGCAGAATAGCATAAAATGCATACAATATGCATATAAATTAACAAAAACATTTTACATCAAAGTGAAATGATTCTAGAAAATCTTATATACGTTTACTTGTAAGTATTTTGTATAAATGATTCCTGTGAAAGAAAAAGAATAAAAATATGTGACATTACTGCCTACTGTATCAGGTTTAGTCAATGTGTCAGATTCTTATTTTTGCTTATTTTACGTAAAAGTTGATTATTGCAAAATTGCAGAGTTATAAAAATTGCTATATTATCTGATAATAGATACTTCCTAGTTTGTATTTATGTTTCTGAAGTTTTACTTGTAGCTTTTATTTAACAAATATTATCTGGAGACACGATAGTGTCTCGGCGTAAAAAAAAATTATAAAAAACGGCGTTTCTAAAAAATAAAGCGATATATTAGTATCGGTGACCTTCTACGTCTCTATAATAACATATACAATATATATCTAAACAATTTTTCTACGAAAAAGTTTTTAAAATATTTACTTAAATGAGCTACTTATTATGCATGGCTTTATTGGCTATGTTAAACGTCATTCCTAATTTGCACGTGCTAGAAAATTTTAATGATATCGATTCGTCCTTGGAAATTTTTTATCTTTTTTTTTATTGACAAAAGAAAAAATAAAAATGTACGTCATAGTGCCCGTTTTACAACGTTAATTCTTACATAATTAGTACATTTGTAGCAAAGTATACTAGAAAACATATGTTTTAGAAAAAGGAAAATGTAAACGTTACTACGCATTATGCAGTTGGTAATCTCTTATGTGAACACAAGGCTCCTTATATAAAGATATCAATACTCTTAACAAAATTACCGTTGATTTCCCCACGTGACTTCGCGTCTGCTAATAGCATTTCGATAGACACTGGAAGAGATAGGTACTTATTAATGACTTTCATCATTAGACTTTCACGCTGTGAAGAGAATCTCGAACACTGCCAGAAAATGTGATTCGCACATTCCGGATTTTTTTATCTTAATAAACAAATAAACAATAATAATAAAACACTCGTTATACGGCATAGCAATACGTAATCAAATTTAAAAGAAACGACCGAATAAACGAGCAAAAAACAAAGATATATAGAAAAAATACTTAGTAACTATATATCTTGAATTTACGTAAGCTATTAACGTTTCGATTTCACAGAATTTCTTTTTCAAAATCTACAAAATTTACTTTCTTATCTTAGCTGTGATAATAGTAAACATTAGGATAAAGAGACTCTAAGCTACGTGAGCAAACCTAGTGACCCCGATATTGGAAGAGCCGTCTATTGTGTAAAACTCACGAAGATGGATATAACGTAATGAAACTAACTAGCTTGGTTGACCAATTAACTGACTCAAGCACGACATAACATTTAACATACAGTCGCCCGTTCATGTGGCTATTTACATTTGTATATGTGTATATATAGAATTGTACGGAAATTTGCTGCTAAAAAAGATTACTCGGTAAATTAATCACGCGGAACAATTAATTGACATTAAATTAAAATTGCGCGTAAATGAAAAATTGTTAAATTGCGACGTGCAAAATTTTATTAAATGTAAATATTACTATGAAGGTACATTGAGAATAATTTCCGGTTAAAAATGGACGACCCAGAGAATATTTTATTTAGTTTTCTCAACTAAAATTTAATAGATTTGATCAAAAAATTTTGATTTTATTTTCAATCATAATTCCAATTGTAATCAGATTCGTTTTCCAGCGTATACTGATACGTAATTAATTGCTACACTGTAAAAAACTAAATTTTAATAACTATTTGTTTAAATAATTCTAAATAAATATTTACTAAGTGTAAATATATATTTATTTGATACAAAAACAATAATTTTTTTTATTAATAAATATTTGTTTACTGTAAGTAAAAGTTTACTTAGTACTAAAAAATATATATTAACTTTTCATAAATTTTTTTTCTAGTGTATGTAGATATTCATTTTCTCCGACGCGCGTTTAACTTTAAAAAACAAGTTACGACGTATCTCTGAATTCAATTTGCGAATCCTTAGTACTATTCACACTACATTATGCCGCAATTTTGCCAGCGCGTCTGACTATAAAGCCACAAGTTTCACTGAATAAGAGAACCGAAATCGTGCGATGCTTCCGCGCGTCCACTTCGGAAAACAGACTTACCTGCATCCGACAAGGGCTGTCGAATGTGTCAATTTTGACACACTTTTCCCGATCGAATTTGCGCGGACGAAATTCCCACCATAAAATTCATCCGTTCGACGAGTCCAAGGATGGCCTGAGCTTTCGAGCCACCCCCCGTGCAGCTCGGGAAGAGGATGGAGAATCTGGCGGGTGGTACAAATTTTCTGAGGTTGCGCATCGTGCTCGTCGGAGCCTGAAACTCGTGGTGGTGCCCAAGCACGAAGCAGAGCGCAAGTGGTGCCGAAGGAAACCGGTGGTCCTCCGCCCGCCGCGCAGGATCCCATCCGTACGACGCGACGGGTTCAGTCGCGGTCCCGTGTTCGGCGCACGAGTGCACTTTGTTCGGGACGGTAGCGGGATCGTACGAGGGCGCCGGGGTGAGTTTGAAATTCGTCGACCCGATTATCGAGTGACTCGACGTAATTCCTGAGGCGTCTATTTGTATACACGCCGCACCTAAAATAAAAAAAAATCACGGTAATGTAAACGGTTCGTCATGTTGTATTATAGTTCATCACATGTAGTGAGTTTATTTCGTTTTTACGTGCTCTATTTGACGCGCAATTCTTAACACAAGTAGATCTGCAAAAGGCGTCAATTATATTTCAGTATAAATAAATATATCTGTTAATGCAATTAATGAGATATGTAAATATAAAGAATTAATTATATATCGTAATATCTTTTACATTATTAAATAATAGTTATCTTTCTTAATTACAAAATTAATAAATTTATTATTTTCTATATAGTTTTTAATTTCAGTCGATTTCTATGTTCAGCTTCTGTACAGTTTCAAATTCCAATTAACTTGATAACTTTATGGATCAATAAGTTCATAAATTTATCACGCACACATCTCACGTCCCTTCGTACACGGAATATAAAATTTTCAGATAGAACTAAAATCCCACGATACATATTCATATCTCATTGTTTATTCAATCCTTTCGCATGTACGTGCAAATGTACATCATGCAGTTTCTTTTATTTCGCTCAATCTATCTTTTCCCCGACGTTAAACGTTCGCAAAAGAAAATTTCTTTTACGCGTTATAATTTTGGTTTCAAGTTCTCGAGAAACTTAATTCAATCTTGAGAATAATAAAAAGCTCGTTGTGTTGCGAAGATGATAAATGTGGCAAAGAAGTATCATGGAGTATCTTTTCTCTCGAGTCTTCATATTCCCAATATTGAATTTGGCGTTTAGCCAACGGACTAACGATCACGATATCAAGAGGACCGTACTTTCCTGAAAGGGCCAAGTACTTCGCAAAAGTACTATTTGTGTGGGAATCACAATAAACGATCGTCGTTTCGTGTCTTGAAAGAATATCGCAGATACATATCGGCGATCCTTGGAAATGAGAACAAACGTACCTCGCGAACATTAATTTACGCTTCTCAGGCGGAGGATTCGAGAAAATGAGAAAAATACTTTTTACTACTTACATCATTCTTTCAACGATGCCGTATCTCCCAGGAAATTGCGAATTGTAGACAACGAGATTCATTGCTCTCGACAATACTAATATCGCACAATGTCGAGTACGACAATATGAAAATATGTGTATATCCAACAAATACGGAATGTTCCAGGAAGCTGATTTAATGACAAATCCTTCAACGAACTCTAAATTTATTTTCCTTTGGGAAAAAAATTGGCGCGACTCGGAAAGAAGATTAATCATTCCACTCGGGAGCAGAAAGAAAAACGGGAGACGATGCGAATCTAAATACTCGAGTTCTCAGAAGAAATTCGAATTATATGCGCTGTCTCTGCTGTCACAGGATACAGGTATAATAATACGAGGAGCGGTCTTAGCGTCGGACGTTTATTTACAGACTGTTATATGATTGTGTTTTTTAATAAACTAAAAGGATCGCAAAGACACGGGCGAAATAACACGAGGTGAAAAATACAACAGAACGTTTTCGATTCGCAAAAGTATCGATATACGGATCGCGCTCGTATCTCGTCGAGTGTCGTGGTGGTACAAAAAGCATCGAAGTGGAATTGCTTTTCTTTCGTCAGATTTTCCTGTGAATATTGTTAAATGATTCTCTTCCGGATAAAGCCGAAGAGATGGAGTTTCAAAAGAGGAAGGAACCGTACCAGAATCGATTTTCCCGTCGAGATAATTTCGCGGAAGGCTTTTCATAATCTCGCTTTCATCCGAAACTCGAAACGTCCGCGTCGAAATGGCCTGGCATGGTTAATGAATTCGCCAGGGCGAACTTCTGCCGCGCGAGGAAGCAAGAACGGTCCCGTCGAGAATGCCAGCGTAATGTCAACATTAATACTATTTCAGCCTTTATATCTTATATCCTTCCAGCTGTCCGCCCACGAACCGAATTAATGTTTTCGCAGATACGGGGCCATTGATTTTACGTCAAATATGGTTACCAGGGTTCGACTATCGGCGCGACCTACGTCGACGTTCGACTCGAACTGTCTGTTCGCACATGTTACTGCGTTAAATCGTCGGCTATCGCGGCCAAATCCGAACAGCGCTGTTGGTAAAAACCAGTTCGATCCCAATGGGGTTGACGTCTGCGAATGTCTGCGAATTAGAGTGTGATATCGATTCCTTAGGGCCTATCAAGACTTGAATGGCTGCACAATGTATATACATAAAATTAAGCGATTAACCTAGGAATAGTCACTTGGGACGATTTTTACACTCCAAAAACGAAGAAATAATACGCAGTAATTTTTTTTACTAATCGAGGATCCATACCTATTTTTCTAATTTCACCTTACATGTTTTAAAAAGTATTAAGTAATATTGAGTAAACCTATAATAATCATCAATACTAATAAATTGTAGAACAATCAATAATATACAACATGTAATTTATATGACTACTTTTAATTGGTTTAAACATCATTCCAGATTTACGCAAAAAAAATATAGATATTCCATGATTAAGTGTCTCATATAAGGATAGTGCTTATGTTCTTCATGCTACATGCGTGATTGGTTAATTTTTTCTTGCTTTATATATTAAGGCTATAAATACATAAAAAACTTTAAGATAAAATTTAAACTATACTCGACCAATCACAATAGAGACATAAGGCAGTAACGTAAGTTGCTGTGGCAAATCCAAAATGTTAATTTGTTTACTGCTTATGTCTTACTGGTTAAGTTTCTTTCTGTCCCATAATCTATACTCTCTAAAACTTTTTAGAAGAAATCTCTCTCTCTTAAATATTAAATATTGAGCCACAAATTGAGACTCTTTGTCAAGACTGGTTTAGAGTGAGATTCCCTCCAGAGAATTTAGAGAGTATGCAGCTATGCAAGTTTGTCCGGATAAGCCCTTAACTCATCATCACTTGTCATAACGATGAGAAATAACTGCATATTGGGCGATATTTTTATCACAACAAACGTTCTTACGTCTCTTCAGCAAAAGAAAAAACTGATTATTCCAAGCTCTGACGGGAAGAGGAAAGAGAAAACAAAAGCGAATATTAATTGAGGACAAAGTCAGATAGTAGACGTAGAATTCAATCGCACTGTATAGATTACATCCATTCGATTCGCACACATTCAAATGCGCCTGCATCCGTCGAATTAATGCGGTGGATTGTATCCGCTCTCTGCAATGGACACGTTGCACACCTCACGCAACAACGTTCCTCGTCACGTGTCCCTCTCGATCGGAGGGTGGAAACCGTCGGACACCAAGCATTCCACAAGCGATAATCAATAAACACATCATACCGTCATATACAAATCTCTCCGGTTTTAGGGATTGTAAATTAACACCAATACGTGTTAATTAGATGGACCCATTCTTTAAAATCCTCCCCTCTAGGGTCACGGTTGTTGTTGTTAAGAGTTGAAATTGGGTCATGCCCATTTATTTCGACAGAGGATATAGAAACGAAATTAAATGGCCGAATTCTGGAAAACGAAATTAATCAAATCAAACGGAACTTATCAAAGCCCCCTTTTATAATCTATATTCAATGTTCTTATCTTAGAGATCCTTGATATCTAATTGCCTGTAATTTCCTGCGAACATTTTTTTTACACGTTTATACGGTCGCATGAACGATTTCCGCGCGTAAGAAATGAAACCTTTGCTTTCGAATGGCTTTCCCTATGATTGAAAGTAATCGGATCAGAAGCAATTTCCGAACCGTAAGAGAACACGTCCTCGAAAGGAACAACTTTAATTGAATATCCTCGCTTTTGCTGAATAATATTTTGTTTCCATGATAACAACGATGTTAGTTTGAATAAATTGATGCTAGTTTGAACTTCTCTTAAGAACACAATTTGCAGTTCTCCACTCAAAATGATTCAGAAATTAATTTCATCGGGAGGAATAATTCTCCGCTGTGAGATAAAAATAATAGACGTGATTAAAGTGAAATTATCAAATAATTATCATCAAAGAAGACTTCTTTCCAAAGATATAAACCGGAGGTACATCGTCGCCGCGTGGCCGACAAACTCTTGCGAAGTTTTCTCATTTCGAGTTCGTTAACACGCAAAACCGCCGGTTTACCCAACGATCCGTCTCAAGTCGGCGAGAACCTCGTCGACTTACGAGTAACATGAATTATGAAGCGTTACTTTGGGATCGTGTATTGCGTCTAAAGACATATAGAGCATAGACTGCGCCATTCGTATGAAAAATTGATCGATAAAATGAGAGAAATAGGACGCAAAGATGATCTCTCTATCTCTTTCTATTCAACCAATCACAATATCTTAGAAAGAAAAGGAGAACTGGCTGCCTTCGTGCTCTTTCTCTCTCATTTTTGTTGATCACGTTTGACACAATATTTAGATATGGCTGGCAGAGTCCATGTTCTACGACTGGTATTCATATATAGTCGGTTCTTATTTCCAGACTGTCTTAAGTATTGTCTTAAGACGCTAATACGGCCCTCTGATTAGTTCGTGACACCTCAAGGCTGAACTTAAGATGATTTTGAATATAAAAACTGACTATGAATACCGGCATATGGCTTTGATTGCGCTCAAAGTATAAGTTAAATTACGTAATTTACCCCAATTTGGATTCGACCTGCAAATAATTGCGCCAATGATACCCGGCGGCTGTGATTATAACGGAGGTAATAATGGGAACGATCGAACTTTGGGGATAGAAACTGGGATGCGAAGTGATTGATATGCGAAATATAAACACGTACACACATAACAGCGGGGTGGGTCAATAACGTTTAGTTTAGATCGCGCGCGCGTGCTCGCAAAATGTACACATCGTCGCGTATATAGATATTCAATATCATATAGGTACAATGCATATACGGATGACGCACGAAATCCCGCGATTTGTGAAGGAAACTCAGGAAGTAAGCTCGCGTTTGCCAGTTATGCCGCGGCTTATCTATTCCGGTCTCCGATCCCCGAAATTTGATAAAACCCCACCGTTCACACGCACGTAACCATGCAACCCTATCGTTACTTCCCGAAACAAGTCGACCACCCACAGTGGAGATACTCTAGATAGATCATATAGTATCTTCAAAGTAGAGTCGGGATCTATAAGCGATACCGTGAATTATCACGTAGATCGTCCACAAAGATAGAACGTCTTCGTTTGGATGCGGTAAAGGTTGAAACAAAAACTAGCCAAGCACACAAAACTGTCTCTCAAGGAATTATTTTTATCTTTATTTTCGTGGAAAGAACGATTTAAAAATATCTAATTTATGAATGATTTATATGATTTATATATAATTTAGAACGGTTTAAAAATATCTAAAAATAATTAAAAATATCTAAAAGTTTAGCTAGATACAAATATGAAAATAATTTTGTTAGATCATCAAAATAATTATGTAGGTCGTCCAAGTTGGTTGCTCGAATGTGAAAATTTTTTGCATTGTTAGATATCAAAGACGCAATGATAGCCCAATCTCTTGTATTGAATATAACATTGTATTATTTTTAACTTTTATATGTGTCAGAATATAAATCAATCCATTTCTGCACGAAAATAACGGTTTTGTTGAAGTATCTAAAAGTTTAGGTATAGATACAGATCTGAAAATACCAAAGTTAGATCTGAAAATAATTTTGTTGGACTATCAAAATAATTATGTAGGGCGCTCGAATGTCAAAACTTTTGTCAGATATCAAAGTAGCATTGCTTCTTATTCTTGAATTTTATACATCGTTATTTTGATGGTTTAACAAAATTATTTTCAAATTTGTATTTACCTAAATTTTTAGATACTTCAGCAAATTCGTTCTTTCTATGTGTGATTAGTTTTAAAGTAAATAACGTCTTGTAGTTAGTATAAATAATTAATTAAATTTGAAGCAAATTTAGTACATTTTCGTTAAATTGTTTAATTCAATCGTTTGAATTAAATTATAAAATATTGAGTAGACGTAGTGGCGATATAGAAATGTTTAAAAATAATTCATAAATTAATTATAATTTAACACATAAATTTAACAGTGTACTCATTATGCTTGAGTATTCTACTCAATTATTTTAATGGTCCAACAAAGTTTTCATAGTTGCATTTAACAAAATTTTTAGATACCTCAGCAAAATCGTTCTTTTTGTCTATACAACTTCAAATATTCTCGGAAGAAAGTTTCAAAGAAATGTATGAAATAATATCGCAGAATAATTGCGCAACTAAAATTTCCTGAAAATGAAATTGCAATACTTTTTATTAATGTCGAATGTCATCTTATTCTATGAATTTCATTGGCCCTGTCTGACCATATGGAGGCTATTTCTACTCACTTTCTTAAAAGTAGTTTAACGACGGTAATTAGCTTGAAATTGAACTTATAACTTCTCTGATACCTTCAAAAGTTTCCAGATCGCGAGTAAGAAAGATGGCTGAGGAACAGCCGAAGTACAAATTGATCTACTTCAATGCACGAGGTCGTGCCGAGCATATTCGCTACATATTCGCTTATGTGGGCATCGACTATATCGACGAAAGGATCTCCAACGATCGCTGGCCTGAGCTTAAAAAGTGTAAGTGCCAGAAGTCAAATTAAAATAACTTGCAATATGTAAATTTGTTGCATTACGAATTCTAATAAACTTAAATAAAACTTCACACAGAGATTCAATTCTCACTTTCGGTTATAATTAAAAATTAACGTTGTGAACATAAATAGGACAAAAGAATACGACACTAACAAACACGAAATAATTCTAATAACTTAAAATTAATGTTCACTGAAAATGAAGGTGTTCACTGAAAAAAATGCATGTAATTTTACATGGAAATTACATGTTCATGACTGAAAAATTACTTAAATTACATAAATATGATTAGAAATTTACTGGAAATTGTAAATTTCTAATCATATTTAGGTAATGTTCCGTCATAGACATGTAATTTCCATGTAAAATTACATGCATTTTTTTCAGTGTACGGTAACATTCTTATCGATAACTCGAGTGAAGACAAATTGTTTCGAATCCTTAGCTGCCACTTAAGCTTGCGCTTAAACACGACCCGCCGATTGCTTTCTCTTGTTCACAGCGATGCCTTACGGGATGCTGCCAGTTCTGGAGATAGACGGCAAGCCGATAGCGCAAAGCAACGCCGTGGCGCGTTACCTGGCCCGTGAGCACAATCTCGCGGGCAAGGACGAATGGGAATCGATGCTGTGCGACGTGCTGGTCGATACCTTGGGAGACTTGAAACAATGTAAGTGATACATATGCCCGGTGCAGTTCACAACGGTCCCGAAAAGCCGCTTACAACCCTCTCTCTCTCTCTCTCAACCTCGACCCGAATCGATAGTCCTTTTCGGTCACGAGTCTATCTCCAGTCGCGATTTCTCGTTTTTGCAGAGGATCACTATCAACCACGACGAAGGTTCCGAATCGTTCTCATCGCGCGACGTTTTTTCTTTTAAAAGATTTACAGGACGCTTTCCAACAAGAACACAGTGTAACGTAGTGAATCATTTTATCCTTGTTTAATGTTGACACACAACAAGGATATAATTATTTACTGTGTTACACTGTGTCCTTGTTGGAAAACTCCTACAATTAGACTCCTGTTTTAGGAACTTTCCAGCAAGAGACACAGACGACACAGTGTAACACAGTGTGTCATTACACCCCTGTTGTTTGACAACAATGTTAAACAAAGATGAAATGGTCATTGTGTTACACTGAGTCTTTTGGAAAGCACCAATTAAATCCTTGTTGTTTATCAGTAAAACAGAGATAAAACGATTACTGTATTAAGGCCGGAGTACAGACTTTGCATAATAAAATATAAGAAAATCAATCAATCAGAGTCTCTTATTTCATGGAAAGGAAGGAAATGAAGAATTCTGATTGATTCATTTTCTCATGCATTATGTGTTTTGCGTTATGCAAGATTCTATAATTCCTCACACTATATTTTGCTAGAAAACATTCATAACAGTAATACTATAGCATTACATTGTCATTGCACAAGTTTTAATCATAATAAAAAAAGCTGCGCAAAGACAATATAATGATATTATTACTATTAAGAGAAGAGTTACAGAATAGGAACCACAGAGAATCGAGACAAACGTTGTTCTATCCTTCTTCAATAAATAACATAGAAAAAAATAGAACGACACTCACGTCGATTGTGTCTCCTAAAAGGAAAACAGTCTTAATCAAGTCCCGTCAAGTTTGCAAGTTCGAGCGTCGATCGATATCTTCGATCAATGATACTCGAGCTCCTGAATCCGCAGAGACGTGGAAGATTGCGCCGTCGAAAACGAAACGGTCCATCGAAGATGCTCCTGGAGATGCTATCACGGAGATAGAAAGAAAAAGTGCGCGACGCTCGACATAAATTTCCGGGAAAACTCCGGGATGGCGGCCCAATGACGGGCGCGAAAGTAGTTCCGCTTTTCGCTTTTCTGAAAGACACGCGCGATCTCGCGCGACCTATATTTCCAAGCTACCCGAGGTCGTCACATAATCGAGCGGACGGCTATCGCTCCGGAAAAGCGTTCTCGCGAAATCTCACGTGGTGCGTTGTACCGCAATTAGATCACCGCCGACGTAATCCCTGAATAACAATGCGCACGACGCTTTCTAATTAGACGCTTAATGAGACCTTCTAGTATCGGGAATTCAGGAACTTAAATCTATTCGATCGTTCAACAAACAGCCTTTGAGAGTACCTGGATATTTACAGAGCGTAAATAATAACATACTTTACAATAATTGCACAAGGGGATGAACCGTTAAAACTCGCGCACGATTTACTTTCCAGTTATCTTTCAATATCGCACAGAGGAGGATCACTTTAAGAAGGAGGAGAAGAAGGCGAAGCTTCTGAAGGAAACTATACCGTTCTACCTGAATAAGTTCGAGCAAACTGTTGCTGAGAATGGCGGTTACGCAGTCGGTTCTATGGTAAAGGGAAACCTCTCTAACGATTTTGCCTTTATGGGAGTCTGTTTAATTAAGTATAAATTAAAGCAAACTAAATTATGTACAGAAAAATATAAAATGAGTGAAAATAAAATATTATATTTGCCATCGACGCTCTCGTCGTTTAAATTGAATAGTGATATAGGAGCTCGAACGCATTGCACGGACGTCGAGTATCGCGTATCCAGAACTTTTAATTAAAACAGTTCTTTATGTATGTGGTATCACGATAAATAAAAAAAAATTCCGTTTCGATGATAAATTACCCGTTGCTTTGCAGACCACGTGGGCGGACTTCGTGTTCACCGTGGCGTTGGAGAACTTTGAGAACATTTTCGGCGCGACTGCCTTAGAGAATTATCCGGCGTTACGTGGCTTGAAGAAACGGGTACATGAAATTTCAGCGATCGCCGACTGGCTGTCACGGCGACCTCATTCAGAGTTTTGAAATGTCGATTCAACGACGGAAACCGGAAGGCAACATCGACGGTATCATAAACAAGTACATATCTGACACTTGCAGCTCACTATCCTGCATCGCTGTAACGGCGATCGATATTAATCGCGGCGTGATACACGATGCGCTTTGCATCCATTTCCACACAACACAGTTCTAGGAAAGGAAATTTCTTCGAAAACCGTGTTGTGTGGAGCGCACTTTATTTGAGCTATTTATATTTGAAAAAAATTTCTCTAAATTTAATGAGTATTTTTTTAATTAAGTTCTCCAGATCTTTTTAATTTCGATATTGAATATGAAATTATTCGGTTTGTCGTAATATTTTTTGTAAATATACATTTATTTTAAAAATGACAATATTATACGGCAGAAGAAATGCACGATTTCGCTTATTGTTACTACAAAAAAAAAAGAGAGCGCCATCGTTTTGACCTCAATCAGATTAATTTAGTCCCATGTGCGAGTTACACGAACTTACATATCGTTGATCGATCCCCAATCGTTTACGACACTCGTTTTCGCTAGCAAATTACATGAATAATGTGCGTAAGATTACTGTCGAATGGATGTCTAGGGTCAAATGAAGCTTGGTCAATGTGTTCATTTATCGCGCGTCGCGTAGTATGGCGTGAGTGATACATTGTTACAATGCGACTTCTGTTGCTATCATTAAAAAAAAAAAAACAACGAGAAGTGCGACAAGTGTGGTATCCCGGATGTCTCATATTTCGTAATTTCTTTTTATTAAGACAGATCCAAGCCGAATGAGCAAGCGTAAATGAACTACTCGCTTCAATAAAGACGGTGTCAGCGACATCCCTGGCGAAAATAAAAAATCGAATGTGTAAGAAGAGAGTAACAGAAGCTTCTAGGAGGCGAAAATTGAGACAACGAAACGTAAAAAAGGCATTTACGCTTCTTTTATGTTTCGTGGTCTCAATTTTCGCTTCCAGAAGCTTCGTTTATGTTTCTGTTATTCACCTTTTACGTTCTCACACTCCAATCTTCATTTTCACCAGAAATAACAAGTCATTCGTTTGTGTTTGTTCATGTCTGGGTCTGTGTTTGTTCAAATCCATTTTTACACCGTTACACTGATAATATTAGCGGTTGAGATAATGGCTGTGTTCAGCAGAGAAAACTAATCAGTTAGCGCTTAGTGATTCTTCAGTATAATTGGTTCCTATACTTAGATTCAGTGAAGAACTAAAGGCAAGAACCAATCATATTAAAGAATCACTAAGCGCTAACTGATTAGTTTTCTTTGCTGGACGCAGCCATTGGCTGCGTCCAACAGAAAAAGCAGCTTTGCAGCTGTTATAAAATTCTCTAATACGATTAGTCTTGTTCTTAGTTCCTCATTGGATCTAAATGTATAAACCAATCATATTCAAGGATTTTACAACAGTTTCAAAGCTGCTTTTTCTGCTGAACGCAACCAATATTGTGGTCTCGCTTACACAAGATCTCGATACTTAATTTATAGAATATCATCCCTACTTGTTTTGCACGAAATATGCCCAGTCAGAGTTGAACGCGGTTGTAATACACAGGGTAATATAAAATGTACGAAGAGCAAGAAGATGCATTGAACTAATGAACATAGCGTTGTAAATGCATACAATTCTACATGCGTATTTTATGTACAAAATTTTGCAGCCAGCAAAGGAAAATGCAAGAAATGCAACAAAATAGACTGCAGTCAATAAGATTGATTGCAACGAAGATTTAAAGGTAATTTGTAAACATCGTCATGCTTTTATCAATAAGACGGTATCTTTATAAATGTACTACATAAGATCTAGCTCGATGTACTCTTCATAAGATCATCGTGTTTGAACGAGATAATAAACGAGAAGATGCGCTTGTAAAATATATCTTGCCATTAGAACGGGAGCAGCGGAAATAATGCGTAGACTTTTTAATGTGCTACGATATATGAAGATGATAAAAAGCTTTGTTCTTTCGTCAGCGCTTAAAGACGTGCCCACAGGTACGGCGATATAGTCAATTGTAATTATCAAACGAGGACTTTAGGAGAGAGAACTGGCTGCATGAGTTGTAATGTATATGTTGCGACGTTATACATATATGTAATGTTAAGTGTACTATTAAGTGTTGAGATTACAAATGATGTAATATAAATGTTATTGCGATTACATAAGGAGCAGTATGACTGATAATAATAATGTGATGCAAACAATTAAGAGTCCAATTGATCTCAATGCATATATTAATATCAATAACACCTCATTCATAAAGTATAAAAAATATGCAAAATTTATGTGCATGCACTTACCACTTGACTGAATCATGAAATATGTTTGTATCAAAGTCCATTTATTTTTCTCGCGATTGAATTATTTTGTTTTAAGATTCAGAGCGGTTGCGGTAATCGATCAATAATCACAAAGAAATCTGGAACAGAAATTAGTAAAGAGAATTATTGCATATTCTTTACTTAATTTGATTAAAATTATAATATTCGAGAATTCTTCAGTAATAAAATTTCTTATGCGATATATTCTATATTTTCGCATTTATACATGCATTTCTATTTTCTTTTTGTTTCGAAGTTTGGATCGATTACCTATATTCTTATAATTACATGAAAATGTGAAATAAAAATTGAGATTGACATGAAATTGACATTTACAAATTGAGATTGACATTTATATGAAAATATGAAATAAAAATCAGATTGGAGTTATTGTATATTTTTTACTTAATTTAATTAAAATTGTAATATTCAAGATTCTTCAGTAATACAATTTTTCTTACGCAATATTTCATATTTCCGCGTTCATATTATATACTTCTATAAAAAAAAGTGATTCATTCATAAGTAATCCATTTTTTGTCTCAAGAAGATTTAGATCGATTGATGATTATCCGACCGCCACTAATTACAAAGAAATCTGAAACAAAAAATGAATAAAATGAGTTAGAGATTATTGTATATAATCTTTGTTTAACACAAAATTTCGGTGTTAAACAATTGTTCAGTAATACATTTTCTTACGCGATATTCCATAATTTCGCGTTCGTACACGCAGTGTCCGCTCCATTTTTTTTTAACATCGACTCGAGAAGTCGTGAAATCGACATCTCGAATCGAATGACGCTGCGACATCGATAAGACGAGAATTCGCAATCGAAGGTCATCGTTGAGGTTAGGTTCCCGTCAGGTTTCATCGCGCATATGTACACAACTTGCTTTACAACTTTGCGTTAAAATCACTGGGAGGTTTCGCGCTGAGGCGTTTCTCGTGATCAGTGATCCCGATCGCAAATGACAAATTGTCCCGACGGAGTGCTGCTGTAAAGAAAACATGGCGACAGCGAAGACGGTACTGCCCGAGGAAAGTGAGCTAACCGTTCAGGAGGCGAACGTCAGCTGGCCGGTGCTGCAAACCGCGTCCGTTTATATCGGCAAGGGTTGTGAATGGTATAACAATGTGAGTTGCAACTTCATTTGATAGCCGAATAATCTCGCTGATTTCCTACACTGCTCATTATGCATCGAGCCGTTCCCCTTCGAGGGATTACATAATACTCCAAGTCCCTGTAATGATATATGACATGTATACACGTCTTTGTAAATAATAATATATCTTTAATATTGGCTGTAAATAATGACATATGTTTAACTAATTAAACAATAAATCGCATTCATCTGAGACAGCACGTAAATTAAAACTTTATAAGATAAGTTAGAGCTGATCGTTCCACCTTCGAATAAACTATGTGGTAATTTATTTAATGGACAAAAGAAAAAGCAAAGAAGACAAGAATGAGTAAGCTATAATTTATCAAAAGACAACAATCCAACTTTAATCTCTTAATTAAATCACAGACTACGTTTTATAATCATATTAATTGGTTTCAGTAACATAACATCCTTATAGTTATTAACTGTTGACATAAAATGTCGTACAAATCATGATGTAAGAAGCTTCTTATATCATGATATAAACACTAATTAAATTGGATTTTATAACATCAGTTATAAAACCAGATTTAATTAATGTTTACATTTTATGTAGTTTTATATCAGTAGTTAATACTACTGATATAAAATGTAAACGTTAATTATAACTACAGATATTATTAAACCCATTTAATAGCAATATATAAACATAGTGTTGCATTTATATTGTTCTCTTGCATAGCGTGACGAGTAAAACGAATGTGATATACAAATACAATTAATTTGTCTTATGAAGATTTGTAAAAATATAAGAATTATATATTTTAATCTAGTACTTTTGAAGATATACATACTAAACATGAATTGCCTTCTAATCGCAAGAAATTTATTTCTAACACAAATAAGCAAAATAGAATTTATTTCTTCTTCAGGAATTTATGTTGTGTAGACAAGAAGAGCGCGACCCACGTCGCTGTCTCAATGAAGGAAAAGCCGTGACATCTTGCGCAATGGATATTCTTAAAAAGATGAAGAAACATTGCCTGGAGGATTTTAATGCTTACATGTATTGCCTTGAAAGATCAACGGGGACATTGGAATTTGCTCCGTATGTTATTTTATATTTTATTGTTAATTCTTCATCTGATACTGATTAATGGAATAATGATGTAAATAATAATATGAATATTATTTAGATGCCGAAAAACGCAAGCTGCCTTGGATGATTGTGTTCGTCAGAATTTGAATATAGAACGTCCACCTTACGGATATTTTTGCGAGGCTAAAGTGCATAACACATCGAGGCCACGGCCGGAAGAAAAGTCTATAACATATCCAGATCCAACTCCTGGACTGCCATCCGATGTACCACGTGAGAAATCGAAATACTCCAATCGCTTCTGGTATAAATCCTAAATCTCTCAATAGATATCGCCATAGTACTTTGATCGTGCTGTAAAAATTATATTTTCAAGATTCAGGATACATCAGATATCTAGATTATTATAGGGAAACGAGTGTAATTATATATGTTCTGTGAATATAAACATATTAATAGCAACTTAGTGATAATTTGCTTGATTATTGTTGTTACAGCTTGTATAAATATAAATATGAAGCATATAAAATATACTTTTTGTTTGTCCACCTTAATTATACATAACGTTTAATGTCATAAAACCTACATATAATTATTCATATATTAAAACATAAGTGTATATATATATATATGGAAATTGTAGCTCTGGAAAATATTTTAGTATTGTAAAAATAAATTAAAAATCAGTTTAGATTAAGAGATCATAGGACAAAGTTAAGGGATATAGCTCGTGGACAGTGAGATAAATAATACAGATGCAGAGTTTGATTGAATTCTTCGAAAAAATTATATACTTCATTTGTTATACTCCACATGACTTCATAACAAAATTTTTTAAAGTATGAGCAAAAATATATCAACACATTATCGTTTTCGGATATCGGAAGATACGTGATAATTAATTAAGAATATTACTTTATCGATATTACTACGGCATTTTATGTACATGAGATACAATTAGCTTTAGCAAGTCATTTAAATATATGTACTAAAAAACGATGAATGTAATCTTTAGAAACGCAGATATACAAAATACATAATACATACTGTAAATGTATGACAATTCATTTACGCATAAATCACGTATATAAACTTATAAATGTGTGTGACACATTTCTTTACGAAAGATCATGTTTAAAGCCGATTAGGAACCGATGAGGAATGTAACACCGGCTTCTACTTAATTCTATGGAGCATAGCCGTATGCTGCTGACATAAATACAGATTTCACTGTTGATTCATCGCAATTGTTAGAATTACCTAATCTGTTGAATCAAAGAAATGCACGCGATATTGTGCAATCTACAAGTCTTTATAGAGCACAATCATGTGTTAGCTCCATGTTATATCGTAACCACTCCAATTTGCACTCGGTGCTAAATGCACGCGTCTTCCATTATAAAAAAACGTCACCACACCGCGGTATCCTGATCTTGGTACACCGCTCTGTAACACACATTTTTGAGATAGTACAATTTAAAATGAATTACAAGAATCTTAATGAAAAGAATATATTACTCTGAAATCGTCCATTAAACCAAGCAATTTGGTAATATTTTTAAACGATTGACGAGTATAATATGGTATTCGTACTGGACCAGGGGCAACAATATTCCCACTTTTCAATTCGGAATAGCTAACCACTGTCGATTGATACACTTGGTTGACAAAAGCTATATCGTAATTATCCTGGAAGTAAACATAACAATTATAAATATACTTTGAATTCAGTAGATATGTATTTGCCACAATGATTGCGTATGACGTTTGTTCTCTTACTTTTAATAAATAGGATAGATTCATCTTGGTGAAAGGCACAAATTGTTCATTTAGCTTGATGTACTTCAGATGTTTTTCAAAGAATAAGCCGCTAAAATTAACAAGACACATTTTGGTGCCGATTTAATTTACTCAAATTATTTTATTTTTAATTATTTTTCTTAGTCTCGAGTTATAACATTTATCTACAGTATTTTTAATGTAAATATAATATACATATAAATAAAAAATACGGATAAAAAGAAGTACTTGCTGACTCCAAGTTTGCCGAATGTTCTGGTTCGTGAGATTTCCGGGCGGATGCAAGCTCTATTCTTACGCTGTTCCGGCTGCCTTATCCAATCGTCCCAGTATCTACATAAACAGATGTGTCATTATTAGAACCGCAAATATTATAGATAGATAATAAATTAAGCCACATTAGTAAAATATAAAATTATGCTTACGATTTGGGCCACTTAGGTGCAAGCTCTAACCATAAATCGCGCGTGAGCATCCAACCTAAGCCAGGAAAGAAATCTGTCCTATAAAGTAAATGTGGCGCATGTTCGTCCACCAAGCCAGCTTTACCATTATCATTCCACGCAGATACACACCATAGAGAGCTATCATTCACTAGTAAGGGATAAGTTCCCAGAAAGTATTCATAAAAGTCTGGAGCGACGTCCAAGTCGTCTATATAAAAATCAAAAGCAATCTTAAAATTAAACATCTTCAATCCTGTAAAAATGTGTCGCATTTGTCGTTATGTAATAGTGATTACACCTATCGTACCTTCAACTATAATTGCAGTACTATATCCAAGCTTCAGAAATACTTGATTTAACGCCCATTTATAGTGACGTGCGATTTTGAAGTATCCCCTGAATTTCTTTTCTTTAGGTGGTATTTCAATATCGGACTGATCAGGTTGCTGGAAAATGTGAGCATAAAGATTGTAATATATCCATCATAAGAATACAAGTGAAAGTATAATCTCATTAAAATTGAAAGAAATACAAGAATACGCTCTCTTAAATAATAGACATAGCAATATAATTATTTTCAATAAGGTATAGTAATACCTTTATATGTAGCAACTGGTTTCCATATTTTGCTATGACATCAGCAGTTTGTCGATGATCACAGTCTTGCGATACAACTATTGGGAATTGTTCTTTACTAGGTCTTAACTTAATTAATTGGTTTAGACATCGCTCTACTGTAATACGATTACAAGAAACGACCAAAATAGCTATTATAGGAGATCCATCGGGAAGTTTTTGTCTCAAAGGAGTACTGTGTGTTGCCTCAGTCTACCGAGAAATTGCAAAATTAAGAATGTGTGAAAACAGTTGAGATTAAGGGGATCTTAAAGCTGTCTGTATTACCGACTAAATCGTAATTTTTGTAAAACAAATATTTTTTTCTCTTTCACAGATTCGAAAATCCTTTTCCTTTCTCTAAGGATTAGAGTACACATTAATATGTGTTTGTGAGGTGGAGTTTTTGCCGAGAACGACAAAAAATTTCGAAATTGAAATCTTGAGAAAAGTTTTTTATTCTCGGCATAAACTCCACCTCACAAACACGTATTAATGTGTATACTTTAATCCTGAAAAAGGATTTTCGAATTTATGAAAGAGAAAAAAGTATTTATTATAGCAATAGTAATATAAATATATTACAGATAAGACAACTTCCTGTGTCGGGCTGTGTTCATCTTTAGACATCTTCCATTTATTTTTGTTTTCGATTTTTTGCAATAATATACTCTTATCCTTATTGACTTCATGTTTTTTGTTTTTATCTTTCTCCGTATCACCTATTGACAACTGGGCATTTAATCTATCATATTCTTCTAAAATGACAAATGATTATATTTGATTTATCTGTTCTCTCAAATGTATGTATACATAAACTCTTAAACTCATCTTACTTTTAAGACGTTTGCTCTCGTTGATTCCTTCTAGAAGTTCCTGGTTTATAATTATCTGCTGTTTTACTTGTTTCTCTAATCTGCTGATTTGATTTGATAGCTTGTCCTTTTCCTAAAGGCAAGTATACATTACAGTCTTACTTCTCTATATGGTATACCATAATAAGCTCACCTTATCCTGATCCTTGCCAACTGATTGCTGATCCAAAAATAAAAAGTATGTAGCCACAGCCCATAAGATAAGGGACCCAAAGATAATACTGATTGATCTATTCCGCATGACAAAACCAAGTGTCACCTTAACTGTAACAAAAATACACCATAAACAAAAAGGTACGCCAAGCATATACTTGTAGAGGATAAAGCAAACAGATACTAACAGGATTTTCACGCGTTGCAGTGCACGTCAGTACATATTTATTACACATGGATTCCTAAACGTGTTAGCCAAGTCTCGTTTCTTCTAGAAAATTGCAACGTTAGAAAAACGCGACTGTTAAGACACATTAGGCCTGTTCTTTCTAGCTGAACTTCTTGCCGTTCATTTTTCTCTTTTTTTTTTACTCCAGGAGGAAACATGCAAGAAATTCAGTTGAAAAGAACAGACCTATTAGTATCCCCGGCACACTGTCGTAGCATGGAGGCGTTACTTACAGACGTAGCAATCATATCCCCGATACAGAGACCTTTGTAATCACAAGTCATATGGAAGGGTCATATTCCATATCGCTCGTATGAATCATGGCAAGTAGCATTATTTACATCACACGTTGATCAACATTGATCAACAGTATAAATAATGGACTAGGCTACGTTATTACAGGCAGGAGAGAGTAATTTCAGCGGTGATCGACGACGACGACGACGACGACAGTACGCAAATCGCGCTGAAAACAGGATGTTCTTAGAAGCAGACGTTGACGTTCCACGACGACGACGAATCTGCGGACGCGGCAGATGTCGGCGAGATTCTGCGAGCACGCGGCACCAGGTTACTTACCATTATGACATGGGAAATGACACGGTGCTCTTTCACGTGGACTAAACTCAAGATCCGCTGGGGTCCGATCGTGCTACGCGAGATCGCCGCGGTTCATCCTCACGCGGCGGTCCGGAAGGCGAGTCGAGGAAGAAGCAGCCGGAAGATTTCAACGATGCTCACACTAGCGGTCCGAGATGACCACTGGAAGTACTGGAACAACTCATGAGTTCACACCGCACTGCTCACAGCCCTCACAGCTGTCAGCATATATGCACGTCGTGGAGATCTTTATCTTACGAGCGAGACCGCGAGAACTCTGGATAGCTCTACTGTAGCGGCGGTGCTCGGTAATTACAAATTGCATCAAGGCGATAATCGTCAAGGTGATGATCGCGTGAGATAGCTGGAGATAGCATTGTTCCTTATCATCCTCTATCATCCACCCACATCCACCGTCCGATTTAACCAAATTTCGCTGACGTAATAATCCATATATGTATATTATGGGATCTGTTTTTTTACACTGAACTAGTGTACACTTTTGGAACTTAAAGTGAAATAGGTATATATGTTTGATATTTGGCTAAAGCAGGTTAAAGTGAGAAAAAATGTTCTAGTGCGTCTAGTATGGAATAAAAAACAATTGTTATTATTACAATTTCCTATCTGACTCACAAGGAAAGAGTACATATATGTACATTTTTTAAACAAGGAAGCGAGAAAGAAAGAGAGAGAGAGAGAGAGAGAGTGAGTATAAAAAATAATACCCCTTCTCTTAATTTTTTTTATACTCATTAAATAAAATATTATATGAATAAAATAAAAATATTTGAATAAAATATATTAATATATAAATTTTATTTAATGAAATAAAATTTCTAGAACATGAAATAATTAAATTATTTTAAAGAATTAACAATTAATTAAAATTGAAAAAAGGGGTAATGCGCGCCTAACAAGTTGACAGTGTAATTCATTAAAAACAATTGTATTTTTAATCAAATTTCAAGTAATTTCTTTTGACAGTTCTCATTAATATAATTTTATAAGTATAAAATTGTAATTAATTGACCAAAAGTTTTACGGCAAAAGAAGTCTATATGTATAACGTATATTATTATTATGATAACCCGCCGACACTCGAACGATATCAATTATCAATCGCGATGAACGAGACTCTCGAGAGATTATAAGATATTAAGATACTGTTGATGTTAAAGTTACATTGGTTCATTTCATAATCGGGGAATATCCCGAAATATCAAGGACGATTGAAGAGAAATATCAAATATCTTTGATCTCTCCACTGTTCCCGATATAACTTATCGACAATTTCCCAGCCTAGGACGAACGTAATCCGTTCGAGTCGCTTCCGGAGCTCACCATTGAGGGCGTTGCGCAGCGCGCATTGTTTTTATATATTATCGTCGTCGACCGTCGTCTTTATATATGTTCTGTGCCGTCGTCGATGGCACGTCGGGCACGTCGCAGTGTCCAACGGTGTCGGTGGAACGTCTTGGTGTGTACTTGGATGTGGTCGATCCGTTCGGCCAGCCATTGACGTCAAATAACGTCGAACGGTCTCGCCGTCGTGAAAAAAATTCCTGGAGCAAGACAGTCTACCCGGAGAAAGGGGCGACGGGGAGGAAAGGTGAAGCGGCGCATCCCCTGTGACTTGTGAGGCGAAAGTGAACGGAAAGGGAGAGAGAGAGAGAATGCGTGACGTGATGAATCTCACGTCCGCTGCGTGATCGGCCGCGTGACATGAGAGACGCACACCGACGATAATTCAACTGCCAGGACGGCGACGAGGGAGGGTGCGAGGGAGTGAATAATTCTCGGAAGATGGTAACGGAGAGCTAAAAGCAGCTATAAAAGTTGAAGTTTACTTGTTGAAGTCTGGCGTTTACTTCTTCGCGGTAAACGACAGCAGCCCACCCGGGAACTGACAGCTCTTTCTGACAGCTTTTGCAGGAGGGACGCGATGAGGGCTCTGAGCACCGGCGAGGTATCCACCGCATTGAGGCCGTTTTACTTTACCGTTCATCCCGATCTGTTCGGCCAGTATCCTACGCAGAGGGTAAGGATCAATTTGAATGCAGATGAGATGTTTGGAGCGAATGTTTTACGATACGATCGAGATAAATCACGGTTGGTTTCGTCAAGTAACTTTGTGGACTCTTTAGTTGTGGACTCTGCAGTTATTTTGTTATAAAATGACACAGATATATGTGATCCTATTTTGTTTCATTCACATCTTCCATATTTCTTTCTGTCTGCAGGTCCTGCGAATGTACATTTAAACCTTTCAACCCTTCTGTCAATGTCAGTTCGACTTTTATCGAATTTTATATAGTAAATTTTAGATACATCGAATTTTAAACAGCATAAATTTTTATATATTTTTAAATATTTTTGATGCGAATTTCGTTATATGATACTTCCAAAAATTCCACCTTTCAAATAACAAAGAACGGTTTTGCACAGACTTTATTTTCATTTTTATATTGTAAGGATATCTTGTGAAACACGGTAATGAAAATGTAAAAAATTATGCATTGATAGAAGAGTTAAAATGTAGAGTGCAGTGTCTCAAAGTGCAAAGTCTCAAATGCTTTGACGCATTTGATTGATCAATCAGACCCAAACAGAGAACAAGTCACGATAACGTTAAAATGACATTAAAATGAATCGAAAATGATTGAAAAATGACTTTTAATAATTATTTTGGAGTCATTTTGACATCATTTTGATATCATAATGACTTGTTGTTCTGCTTGGGGAAGAATAAATTTTACAAATTGACCAATCAAAGCATTTGTAGCATCATGTTGATCGTACCCGTATAAAATAAAAAACACTACAGAAGCAATCGAGCTATCATACAATTTCACAAGAATTTAGAAAGTTCCTGAACTGTATTTACAACCTTAGAGAGAAAGAGAGAGGAAGGAGAATGAAGAGATAACGGTCACAAAAAATATAAAAGGAAAAGGCTAGAGTGTGTTTGCGCGCCACGTGTTCGTTACATTTTTATTTATTTTATTTTCTTTCCTTCGCGAGAGTCACGCCGACCACTCGTTTCTCATCAAGGACACGTAAGATGCACGCGTGCTGTTGTCAAAGCGCCACACAAAGCAATCGGTAGTTTAGTCATCGTGGTGTGATACCGAGCACAAGCTAATGCGGTGAACGGTATTATTTTTAAACGTGCAAAAACTTGTTGTCTCGTTCATAAAGGAATGATACAGCGATCTTTGTACGTGCGTGTACAAGTTTGCTCGAATCAGAATAAATTTTCTGCAGTCACAAAGTCTGCTCGCGTTGCTTGAAAGCCCTCAAAATTCTTGCACTTAAAAGGAGACACATATAAAGAATAATAAAAGAATAATTGGTGACAAGACCGTCATACAGACGTCTCCAGCACGATTGTCAGGTCCCGAGCACTGTACGGCTGGAGTCCGAAGGTCCATGCGCTGGAGATTTCATATTTCGACTGGAGACCTGCCGATTGTTTCATTTAAAAAAAGAGAGAAAAAAAGGCGCAGGGTTTAATTCGTGTTTTGCGACCACTGTTACAGACTTTCTTTTCGTGATTAATATTTGACGGACATAAAGTGTCAACACAATCACAGAGACCTTTTTATTATTATTACAATAATTACAACATTACATACAGTGCGAACAGAATTACAAACTTTTTTATTATTTGTAAAAGAACATAAACTGCGAACATAATCACAGACTTTCTTATTAATTTCCACGTAATTTAAATATACAATTAATAAATATCCCACGCGAGTGAAAAACTGGAGATTTTTCCCGCCTGCTGGAAAACTGGTCCCGAAAACTGGATGATGAATCAGTCGAAATCTGGAGACCTGACAACCGTGGTCTTCAGATGATATGGCCAGACGGTACGTCAACTTTGTATACATTTGCTAAATATTGGGTGTGCGATACAGTGATCTTTGTTTAACGTTGGCAAACAACAAGGATTGGCAAGGCTGTAATGATTCATTGTGTCACATCGTATCATTTGTGTCGCTTGTTGGAAGGCACACATTGCCTCGTCATGACATTATGCATGTCATGTATGTTTATGATATTTGCTAATGTTGGCATACGTTGGCCATATCGTCTGGAGGCGCCTTACAAATAAATTAACCAATACCCGTTTCAATGCAGTTTAATTTTGATCTCGGTTCAACTAATTCTTCGTCTTTTTCTAATTTTAATGGGCTTTCTATAATAAACCATTACCGTCGTAAGAAATTGACCAATCGATTATTCTTCTCACATTCGACTACGATTGACCAGTTTCCTGTGGCTTAAGATTTAAATGGCTTATTGTAGAAAACCCGAAAGAATTAAAATTAAAAGAGATTAAAGTTAATCTATATTGGTAGAAACGGATTTAAGTATATGAAAATCGTAAGCGCTACTTACGATTAAAGATAATTATTTAAATACATCTATATGTATTTAAATAAATTTATTTTAAATATGTATATGGCTACGCGCTGATTACTTTTTCGACTTACAACATAATCAAACTGAAATAATAATAATTCTCCCCAATAGAGATAAATATATATATATTCTCTCTGTACATATTCGGACGTTGAGAAGAGAAAGCGAAAATGTTGAAAAACTATAAGTAATGCGGACAGACCTTCAGTCAGATGTTTGCGTCGTTTATCAGTGAGATTATTGTTTGTCACGAGCAGGGCCGCATTAAAATGATCATATCTATAGCCGCAGAAACGTGTAAATTAGCATTTCAGATCCGCTCCGAGAAAGAGCACGTAGAACAATCACGCGGGAAAGGAACAGAGCGGAACGTTTCTTTTTTTTTTTTTTTTTTTCGAGAAGCCTGTTTTCTGATCTGATATGCGTATTATCGCGACATTTGCTTACGGGAAAACTGATTGAATTGAAAACAAAATTAAATGTTTATTATAATTGGAGAGAATTTAAAGAAATATATTTGCAATATATATATATATATATTTGACAAATTAATAATAAAATTATAAATAAAATTATAATTATTGTGTATTTATTGAATGTATATTTGATATTTATAAAATACGAATTATTTTAACAACTTCAATTTTTCTAAATTAATGAAATTGAAATCGTATCTCGTTTTGTATAAACGATGTCGAAAATTGAACAATTAATCGATAAACGCGGCCCTGCGCGTGTGTTTTATTAATACATGTTGATTGTGACTTAAGGCTCGCTTATAAACATTTTTAAGCGTGACAATTTAATTTAACAGATCATTAACCGCGAGAATTGATCAAAAAAGCATAGTGCATTATTTTTAATCCGTAAAGGAACACTTTTTTTTATGCTAAAGAAACATACGGGTCTTTGGAACCTACTAAAGTTTTTTGTTATTAGTTTTATTTTTTAAAGAATTTTTCAAGTTGTTTAATTATATATTTTTAATCTATTGTATAATTTGAAAAAAACAAATTAAATATTATTAATAAACAATCAATACGAAATAAAACCATAACGATCGAAGCTTTGGTGCTTAAATAATTTGGTGTGAATTTATTTAAGCTGCGTTCATCAGACTCAACAGTTGAGTAAACGCTTGCTGTTATTGGTATATTCTTCTAGATCATTCAATCAGACTTTTAAATTTGGAAGAATACATCAATAGCTACGAGCGCTCATTCAACTATCGGTTGCGTTTAGCAGAACGTTTATTTTGTTAACTGTTGAAAGTTTTCTCCGCGCTGATTGAATTATACTTTTAGATCTAGAAGAATGGTCCTATCTCAGCAAACAATCACGGTTGTAAAACTGTTGTGTTCTGCCGAAAGCAGTACAGTGATACTACGTATCAAATTCTGCCAAATTGCGCGCCGAATTGATTTTTCGGTCTTGAAACGCTATACCTATAGAACTACCGTATCGATCGAAATCCATTCTTAGCAAAACTAGAATCTGGACGTGCATGATTTAAGAAATCACACGCTTGAAAATCAATATAATACTTATTTGTTATTTTTCAGTGTTTATTATCAATTATATTTTATTATCATATTCAAGTAATATCGGATAATAAATATTTGTATCTCACATTTTCTCATTAATATGATTCATGAAAGGACATTTGATTAAACATTTTATATATACCTTGCATAATCATATTATCATTATTACTTTCTTATCTTTATCTTTATTCAAGAAATGCATTAGTGTTAATTAAATTTTTTGTAAATATTCTTTAATTATATTTTTTATATACATTCTTTCATAAGCAAGATGATATGTATATATAATCATCTTTAATTAATGCAAATCATTAGGTATTATCTATGTTGTGTCTATGTTATTATCATCTGTGTTATAATTTACTATTTACAGACAGTGAATGAAAATTCTTTGAAGCAATTAAGTTCAATCTTAGAAACCTTGCAACAAAAACAACCTATACGGCCGACTATTTTGCCCTTTTATCTGCGATCGAAAGATGAGAAAGACGTGAAGGCTGGTAAATTCACGCTTGTTAAAATACAATTGAAAGAAAAGGATCTGAGGCAAGCTATACTTTCCATCTTAAAAACATGCGATCTACCCACAACGTTTGTCGACAAAATAGAGGAACCGAAACCTTCTGTCACTAAGCACAAATCCAGATTTTGGCAACGCGCGTATTCTGGAGAAAGAATAGACTTTTCGGAATTGGAGGAGGATCCTATTTATGCATCGATTATTATGAAACGCAAGGTTAATGCAGAGCCAGATACATTGAAGTAAATACATTAGTAGTATAACATTGAGATATGCATAAAGTACTAAATATTGCTATTATACTCGTATTTTTATGTTTCTGATTAGAGCGTATCTAGATAAGCACATCAATGAAGTACATGTTAAACTGGAGGCATGCAGACCAGTGAGAGACGAGGTGGAGAAACTGGAGAAAGTACTATGCAGCGTGTTGGGTCTAAAAGATATCATATGGGACTGTGGTTGGAATATCACTCATTATCGCGGCTGTTTATTAGCCTTTCAAGCGTTAGCCGAGCATCATCCGGAATCGATGGAAGTATTGAGGAATCGCACTCTTGTGTTTGCAAATGATACTGGTATCAGTTTAGAAGGCAATGTTATGCTAAATTCTGGAGAAGTCAGGCACAATTGGCTCGACGTAAGTTGAAAATAAGCTGATTACCCGATCTATTCCTATAAGTATTAAACTCCTTTGTTGTTTATAGCTAATAAAGAATGTAAAAAAGCATGATGCTGTTTTGTTGAAATTGCCAGCGTTTGAGAAGGCAGTCTCCCAAGTACTCCTCGACATTAAAGTTGGTCGACGGTGCGTAATACATCATATTATTTGAGTTATGGTAAGGCTCAGGGTGCTCTATATGTGCAGGAAATTCATGCCTAAGGTAATGGTCGGCCAGTATGAGCAACAGCTGCGACAACTCACAACCACGCTCTCAGATTATCGTGGCAAAAGAAAATATCCGAGTTCGTGGCCGGCCAATCTGTCAACTTACGAAATTGTCATCGAAGCGTTAGTACTACTATTTAAATATCGTTGCTTGTGGATGATTTTAAATTTTGTGCAAGTGGCTCAACACAATTTATGATCTTGTAGCGAAGCAGGTCCTTTGATGTTATCGCCGACTGGACAATTCATTGTACCGTCGTCTTGTCCAAGTTTTCTTTTGGTAAATTTTATTACGGAAAACTTAGAGGAGGCTACAAAAAGACTATATCACTATAATAAGTAAGACATCTCAGATTTTTAATTGAACTGAGATTAATATAGATATTATTACTATTTGTGCGTATTTGCAGCATAAAGCACGTGGAACGGGAACTTCATCGTAAGACTATCAAAGAATTAGGTTTAGCTGCTCTTAACAAGGACGACAGCATTACACCGGATCTTATGATACAGTGTTGCGAACGACTGCTTCTACACAAAAAGGATCTGGCACCATCGCTTGAGGGCGTCATGCTCTGGGTTACTCATTATTATTCTGTTATGAGCGATGGCGTTCTTTGTGTGCCATGGGATTGGAGGTTCTAACTTTCGATAAAAAAAGATATGTTAATGGTTGTTGTTAAGTCACTAGCGTAAGCATAACGACAATGCAAATTAGTTTTACAAGTCCCGAGATTTGCAAGATAGTAATTATACTAGCAGTTTAGAACAGGAAATTGTCTGAACGCGTAAGATAAAAACTATTAAGCCAATTGTACCGATTAGCACGGTTGGTTTTAATGGAAATAAGCCTTTAGATAACATTGTAAGTCATATTCTAAAAATAGTACCTCTGTGTCGATTCAAATATTATTAATTCAACGACGGTGAATTTGTATTACTAGTGTCAATATCGTTTCTAATTTCGTGAGAACAACTAAAGACAGATTTCTATGAAAATAGTTGTCCCAAACGAGATTTTTGTAAAAAAAAAAAAAAAGGGTAAACAGGGTTGTCACAAAACTGAAAATCAAGGAAATCGAAAACGGAGAAATCAGAAAAGTTAGGGAATTTTGAAAAATTGCAAGCAGTGTCAGCAATTTTAATAGTATTATAATTTACATTGTTATATTAAATTACTTCCTCAACAAAAATAATTTAACAATTTCCAAATCACAGAACGAAAATACAGAAAACTTCAAAATATTATTTGAAAGTCAGGGAAGATAAAATTTTATCCGGAAATCAAGGAAAAGTTATGGAATTTTAGGACGAGGAATTTGTGGCAACTCTGATGAAACAATCAGACAGATAAATTTAAACTGGAACTATTAGATTTTTAACAACAAAATAATCGCTAGTCTTGCATAAGTCTTAGTTTAGCTTAAGGGACTCGACGCTACGCGCTGTAGACAATTGTAAACAATTATAGACATTGTATATTTTTTTAATTCGATGTATCGACTCAATTGTAAATGTGCGGTCTGTCGATTATAACCAATCGAGGACAAAAAGGTTTTGCAATAATTGACATTTATATACCTCTGAAGATGTCGCATATTTGATCTCCTTTATCCTAAGACCATCGTTGAATCAGACATTGTCTTTGCTCTAAAATTTCCTCTTCTCTTATTCTATGCCCATTTCTACCAATGCAAATTAACTTTAATCTGTGTCTTAATTCAACCTACTCTTCATCTTTTTCTAATTCTAAGACTTGGAGAAAGATAATTGCTAGTCTTATATAATCTTATTTTAGCTTATAAAGAATTTGATATTGAGCGCAATTATAAACAATTATAGACATATATTTTTATATAATTATAGACGAATATTTTTTAATTTGATATATCGATTGTAAATATGCAGTTTGTCAATTATAATCATTCGAAGAGTAATAGCGAATTCGATTGGATGCATTCTGTACATATTAAAGCTGTCATATTCAAATTAGATCTGTTCACGTTGCTTGCACTTTTTGTACTCAATTTTTAAGAATTTTAAGCAACGCGAACAAATCTATTAACATAAAAATGTGTGTTTAATATAAATATAGAAACGGATTAAAACGTGAAGTTTTCCATACATTTTATTGTGTTGTTAAGTAAAATATGAAATATTTACAGTTTACACTCAGATTAAATCAGTGCACATACATACAACGGTTTTAATACGCATCAGTGCGCACTATAATAAGTTCAAATTTATTATAAATTGAATAGAAATTAAAAAATTAATCTATATTGGTAGAAACGGATAATAGGATACTCGAATAAAAAACCATTCTCATGTAACCAAGAAAAAAAATAATGAAAAAGATAAAAAAAAGTTTAAATAAAATTTTAAATAAAAATTTCTATTAAAAAAACTGATCAAACTTGGATTAGCTCAATTTACAGAGTAATTGTTTGCAGCAAAATTATACACTTCGTCGAGCACAAAAAAACTCGAAGCGTTTACGTGAATATTTGTTTAAATTCGCGCCGTATCCTGAGTTTAGTGATTCGAAAAAGAGGAATTTGTCGCAGGGACTTTCGAGCGCGGGAAGTGTCCCGCTGGTCCCGCTACCGTCGGCTGTTCCCGAGTTCCCGCGCAAACGAGCGATCGGCGCCAAAATATCCGACGTGCATGCGCACTACCGTTAACCGTCGTGGTTGCGCGGGCCGCGGCTTCATTCGGCTTTCAGCGTTCGGTCTTGGCGTGTCGGCACGATTCCGTAAACGCATCTTCGTATCTATCTCACTTCCTCCCCGTTCCTCCTTCGTGCAAGGAAAAAGCAAACGTACTTGATTTAACGGCAAGACATGTCTGGACGCGGCAAAGGTGGTGAGTAAGAACGAAAAGAAAAGGGAGAAAAAGAAAAGAAGCTAGAAAAAGGGAATCCTGCGGCGCCGGGCGACGATAACGACACTCCTCGCGCGTGTCTTTTTCCAGGTAAGACCAAGGGGAAGGCGAAGACCCGCAGCAGCAGGGCTGGGCTGCAGTTTCCTGTGGGAAGGATTCATCGTCTTCTCAGGAAAGGTAACTACGCGGAACGCGTTGGTGCCGGTGCTCCCGTTTATCTCGCCGCCGTGATGGAATATCTGGCTGCCGAAGTGCTAGAGTTGGCTGGAAATGCTGCCAGGGACAACAAAAAGACTAGGCAAGCCCTTCCTCAATTTCTCTCTCTCTCTCTCTCTCACGCGCGCGCGCTTTCTCTCATTCCGTCTCTCTCGTCGCGACTTCCTGTTTCTATCTCGTGTCTGCGTCTCGCTCGGTTTCCTTCGCACCCTCTGCTCTAGGCGTAGTACAGAGGGAATATAGATCTTCACCGTTAATCGACTTTGTTTTAAGAAAATTAATTTTCAATCACTCTCTTGGCGTTATTCTCTTGCATCGAAATATATTAGTGCTGTTTAAGCGCAATGTTTCATCTCGTTCGTTTGTCTCCGAGAAATTTGTTTACTATTCTAGATTCGCTTTCTGAATTTTTGCAAACTGTAACTGTTGGATGTTGGCATGTTTTTGTGTTTTAACCTTATCCAACATGGATTGCTTAGCTTATTTGAATATATAACATCATAAAAGTCTAATTTACAATGTGCTCTTGTTTCCGGTTTCTTGTTTTCAATTACTTTTTGTCTTTTTACCTCTTATCCTTCTTTGTTTTCTGTTGCCTGAAATAAAAATTAACAAACTTGGGAAGAGATGAGAAATATGTGGCAAGAATAGGGTCGCCATTCGTCCTTCCTCTTTTCTCTGGATACTCTCTTTTTTTTTTTTTAGAATATCCGGGGTAATTATGAGTTTTAGGGAACCTTCTAAATTGTTTACTTTGATTCCTCTCCCATGTTATTCTGTATTAGTCCTGATTTAATAGGTATAATTCTTAAACTGTAAGAAACTGACCAATCACAGTTGAATGTGAGGAGAATAATATATGATTGGTCAATTTCTTACATTAAATTAGTATCACTAATGAACGATTAGATGTGAAATAATTGCTCGTTTAATTCTGATCAATTTTATTAATCTACATAACACGCATTCTTATATGCGTCCAGAGTTTCAAGCGAGATATTCGGGGTTTTTAGTCTGTAGTTATTCTAGTTTTGAAAATTTTGATATGGCAGCTGTAAGCAAGAGAAACACGATTGTTAATAAAATAATCGCAAAAGAAAGGAAAAGGCAAAATGTAAGAAACAGGAAGCAAAGGGCAAAAAGAATTTTTATTGTGTTTATATGGAGATTATAAAATTAGATGAATTACTAATTTGATTGTAAATTAAATGTAACGGTTTGTTTCCTTGTTCTCATAGAAATGTAGAAAAATTTTAGATTCTAATACAAGGTTACCACAAAACTAGAAATCAAAAATCTGAAAAATGTCAGGGAAATTGAAAATGATAAAGAAATCAGTAAAAAGTTTGGGAATTTCACAGAATTTTCTGGAAAATTAAAATTCTTACCTGAAAAAATTTAATATTCATATATCACGCCTATGCAATTTTGGAATATTACCAACTTAACAATTAAATGCAAGCAATGTCAGAAACGTCAATAGTAATTTACATTGCTATGTTAAGTTACTCTTTCAACAAAATATTTAATGGTTTCCAAATCAATGAAAATAAAAAAAAATTCAAAATATTGAAAGTCAGGGAAAATCACGAAATTTTGTTTGGAAAAGTTATGGAATTTTTAAATGATGAATTTGTGACAACAACCTTCTGTAATATTTGCTGTTTTTTTTTGTTTTTATTTAATGTGTATTTCGTTGAAATTGTATATAAATGCTCATCTTTCACAGGATAATCCCGCGCCACTTGCAACTGGCCATTCGTAATGACGAAGAATTGAATAAATTGTTGTCCGGAGTGACCATTGCTCAAGGTGGAGTCCTGCCTAATATCCAAGCGGTTCTGCTGCCGAAGAAGACCGGTACCGGTGGCTCTGGAAAGGGCGACAAGGCGTCGCAGGAATATTAGATTATTACACGTTTATAACTTTAACCGTAATTCTAGAGACATGCCTTTATTTCGCAAAACCGGAGGAAAAGGAACGAATGTCCTTACAATCTGTGCAACAGGGCTGGTTTTACATGGTTGACGATAAAATTGTGGAGATTAATAACAAACATCGGTTGCGTTCAGCAGAGAAAGCAGCTTTGCCACTGTTGTAAAATGCTTTGATATGACTGGTCTTTTACTCTTAGTTCTTTACTGGAATTAAATATATAAACCAATCGTATCAAAGAATTTTACAGTTAGTTGCAAAGCTGCTTTCTCTGCCGAATGCTCAACCATTACATTATCATATTGATTTCCTTGTTATTCCATCAATTTTCACGAATTCAGATTTGTGAACGTTCTTTTTTCTCTATTTTATTTTATTGACAACCACCTGCAAGCGAATTTTTATTGCGTTTATGTGGAGTTAGATATTACCATTTCGATTTTTATGTTTTCTGCTAAATCCTGTCCTGAATACCGTTGAAAGTATTGTATTTAATTAATAATTGCCATGTTGATGAGGTATATTTGATAATTATGTCTTAATTAGAAACCAGTGAACGGTAACCCAAAATTTCTGTTTTAATTTGAAGATTACGTAACTATTAATGAATTACTTATGCATGTTTTATTTATGATACAATTTTATCTTATTTAAATGCTACTGTTACAGTTATACATGTTTCCTGCACGCAAATACAAACGTACACATTTCTCGTTTATTCTTTTTATTCTAATTTTAGACTTTAGCATCATTAATTTTATTCTACTGTATATCCTATTACTGAAGATTTGAAAAGATTGTATTAATGCTTGAATGTTTTTGTTAAATGTAAACGATATTGATGCAAAAATAAATAGCATTGCGTCCCTATGTGAAGATTCAATTCGCAAATGCGTGTAATCCTCATTTAAATATATGAAAATAAAACTTCGTTATAGAAAGATCTAAAACTTTTAACATCACTCATTCCGTTGTCGAATACCTGTTATATATTTATAATAACAGTTGTAAGTGAGAAGATCGAATCTCCCATTACAATTTTATTGTCTGCCATTATTTGCGGAAGATTGTTAATATAGCCATTTTGTATTTGTATTTTTGACGAAATGTTATCAACAAACAATTCTGCGACTTTGAATTCAAAATTGACGTTCGTGAGCCTGTCGCTATCTCGCAAGCGATTCGAGCCTGCGTTGGAATTTGGTATCACTTGGAAGTTGAAGTAGATTATAATTGTTAAATGTCTTCTTCAAAGTCTCTATAATTATTAAATGTCTTCTTCAAAGTCTATAATTATTAAATGTCTTCTTCAAAGTCTCTATAATCGTTAAATGTCTTCTTCAAAGACTATAATTGTTAGTGATTAGTGATTATAGAGACTTTGGTTATAGAAATACGTATTATAAGACAAAATTCGCTAAATTAACTTGTTTGAATATTTAAACATCTACTTCTTCAAAGGATAGTAGTGCCCGAGAGCAGTTTGCGGTTACAAGAAAAAGGTCCTCGTGTCCTCTCTGAGATTTCTCTTTGGTTCTTATTTTAAGATCATCTTAAGTAATATCCTAAGATGCTAATGTACGGCTTTCTGATTGGTTCATGACATTTTAAGATTGTACTTAAGGCAATCTTAAATATAAGATCTGACTATGGCCGGTATTCATAGTCAGTTCTTATATTCAAGATCATCTCAAGTTCAGCCTTGAGGTGTTACGAACCAATAAGAGAGCCACATTAGCGTATTAAGACATTACTTAAGACAGTCTTGAAATAAGAATCGACTATGAATACAGGGAGAGAAAAACCTGAATATTAATTTAATAGATTTCAGTGATTTCAACGATTTATTTCCATCAGGAGCATCGCAAAAAAATGGATATTGTTGTGTAGTTTACATCCACTTATTCAGAGGGCAATAGTGCGCGGCAGCATTTTGCGGTTACAGGAAAAAGGCTCTCACGTCCTCTCTCAGGTTTCTCTGGTACAAGTAGCGCGTCGATTCGACGTGACATTTAATTTTTGGACGACGGTGTTCGGTTAGAACGACTTTTTCAAGGTGGTACATTCGCCGAACGCGGCAGCGAGAAGCGCGAAATGTCGTCGGGCGTGATAGACATCCTCGTGGACATGGGTTTCAGCATGTCCAAGGCGTAAGTTCGTAGATAAACGTCGCATCGTCGAAGCCTAACCTATGTTGACGATTCGACGGTTTTGTTACAGCGAGAAGGCCTTGGAGATCACCGGTAACAAAGGCGTGGAACCGGCTATGGAATGGTACGGACTAGAGACGTTGCTATTATAATTCTCGTCGCGTTGTGACGCTATCGATTTATTATTGTAGGCTGTTGGCCCATTCGGATGAGGTTGAACCAGGACCAGCTGTAGGCGAGAGTGCTCCGACGCTGTCTACCGACACACAGGACAACGTCGCTGGTGCTAGCAGTCAACCGGTTTCCACGACTGAATCGGCTAAGTCTATGAAGTGCGACGTGTATGTTGAATTGCAAGGATAAGACTCTGATACAGTTTTCCACTGGGAAAAATAGTGCAATAATGCTCGGTGGACACCGAGTACCATTAAATACAAAATAACTGATATTTTCAGTGTTAATAAATGATTTAATCCTTTTAATTAATACATATTCTCTGTTGTAGTGATAATCTCATAATCTTGAAAAAATTAAATTATTTATTGACACACCGAAAGTATATATATATATATATATCGATTTGCATTCAGTTATACCAGTGTTGCACTAGTTTTTCTAGCAGAAAAACGGTATAAGACCGTGTTCAGATAGACGCTGCCAAAACCACTGAAATCTATTCTCTAAAACTTTTAGAGCAAATCTCACTTTGAAGAGTGAAATCTCAGTCCTAAAGATTGAAAATTGAGCTACTTTTTTTCGAAATTAGCTTAATTTTTGTTCTTCTGGTGAAATTCTACACCAAAGAATTTAGAAAATATAATATACCTGAACTATAGATTATTAGTATTGGCAGTGTATTAGGGCACAACCTAAATGTTGGAATATATAGATGCTCCTTTGAGCATTGAAATTGTTGCGTTATACTTTTGTATGGAATATCACTACTGTGTACAAAAGAAATGTTTACTTTGTGATTGTTAAAAGTTTTCTTCGCATTATATATATAATTGGTTCTTGAAGGATAGTCCTATCTCAACAAAACTTCCAACAAGTATACATATTTTTTTTCAAATTGTCTTTGTAGATGTGGAAAACTCTTCAAATCTAACTTAGAAGTTGAATTTCATGCCACAAAGTCTGGACACGATAGATTTTCTGAAAGCACAGAGGAGAAGAAGCCATTAACCGAAGAAGAGAAGCGGGAACAGTTGAAGATGTTGGAGGAAAAGTTGAGGCAGAAGAGAAAGGAGAGAGAGGAGCAGGAAAAGAAAAATGCATTTGAAAGAGAAAAGAATAGGATACGATCGGGAAAGGAAATGTCCGAAGCCAGGAAAAAGTAAGGGACAAAGTGACGAAATTGAAATAGAAAGAGTATGCAAATCTATATTTTATTTATATATGTATAATAGATTGGAAGAGTTAGAGATGCAGAAGCTTCTGGAGCAAAGAAAACGGGAGAAGGCGGAGGAAAAGGAAGCAAGGCAAAGAGTTCGAGCACAAATTGAAGCCGATAAAGCAGCAAGACGAGCTAAAGCAGCTGCTGAAAGCAATCAAACGGTTAATACAACTTCAGTCTCATTATCCGCAATACCTTCATCTACATCTGCGCACCATAGAAAGGATTACACCGAAACCAGGCTTCAGGTATTAATATAAAATGCGTATGAAATAAGTAAAAAAATATGTAGACCACGTGTGTTCTTCAAACAATTACATTTTAGCTTAGGCTGACCAATGGACAAACCTTGACCCAAAGCTTTGGAAGCAAGGAACAATTGTCTGCAGTGAGACTGTTTATTGAAATGAATAGGACAGATGATAATGGTCCCTTCCAACTGATGACCACGTTTCCCAGAAAAGTGTTTACGGATGAGGATTACGATACTCCATTGGATGTATTAGGTATGCTGTATTGATAATTTATTATTATATACCTACATTTTCATTTATATATGTACAACTCGTGATAATTTCTATTATTGCTTATTGATGCAACGGATGCAGTTCTATTAATTAATTATGCAATTTTATCAGCTGTAATGTGATAATTCATTGTCATTGTGATTATTTAACATATTTAGTATATATATATAAAGACTTTTCCTGAAGATATGGCACTTCTTTTATTTGCAGGCCTAGTACCCTCAGCAGTCGTGATCGTTCAGAAGAAGGCGGAATGATGTAGCCAGTAATGCTCTAATTTGTAAGCAAAAATACTAATGTATATTATCATACAAATTAATTATAAGACATTCACTCTAATATAATAATATTCTTTATTATAAATGATAAACTCGTCGTGTGTGATATACGAATTTCTTTTTTGAAACTGAATTTCTCTGTATAGTCTGTTTCCTTCTTAACGATGAATATTTATTGCATTTAAAAACATAACGTTATGATTAAAAATTAAATGATGAACAGTTTAAAGCTTGTGCATAAATATTTATAATTTTCAACCGATCTGCTCTTTTCGTATTTTTTGAATCATACATGTAAGTATTATTTAATCTAATAATTATGACGACGTCTCAATCTGAAATATATTTCTAATATTACTTAAATATTAATATTTTTAATATTTTTTAAATATTGATTAAGAATGCTAAAAATTACATTGTTTAACTCATAAATATTTGTTGTTCATTTTTTGTCACGATAAATTATTTTGAAATTGATCTGTACGTCGTATATGTGATATGATATTATTTATATAATAATTTATCTAGCTTGCATACACACATACATATAAATATTATGCTTTTAATTTTACCATTATATCTGTTTTACGTTATATCTGTGGTAACGTGGTATGAGATTTGGATATATTATCTCTTGAGATTTACAGTTGGTAGGGAAATTATATATGCCATCACAGTCTACCAGTTGTAATGTCTTGTTAAAACAAATTCTTATCTCGTTTACATATGAATTTTTCGTTTTCTGGAAGAAAGTAAAGTATACGTTTGTAGTAAAAATTACTATTATGTTTACTTTTTTTTATATTGATAGTTTTCTTCCATATCCGAAAAGAAACTATTCAAAATGACGTTTATCTGTATTGAAATAATTTTTGAACTTACCTGGTCAACCACACACATTACTTGTCCCCTTTTATTTAGTATCTTTTGAATTCCCGTTAAATAATTTTGTACCGTATATTTGTTACCAGGCAAGATATTTGCTTTCGCAAGTACGTCTATCATATTGTACTCGTCGAGTAATTTTAAAGCTGTTTGGAAATATTTAAATTCATTGTTTAAATCTTTTACTGAGATTGCACAAGTGCCGTGTTTATCCCACTCATGTCTCCAGAACGAATAAGGTTTAGACCCTTTTTGTATATCGATCCAGTTTTCTTTTAATTCTCCTTCTATGGGTGCTATAGCTTTTGAATCAAATGGTAACCTGTTACAAAACTGCGGGCCTGTTGTGTTATATTTCGTAGGCCAAATTCCATGAATGGTCCACTCGGTACGCTTTGGTAACACGCAACTGTGCGTGTCGTTTAGCCGCGACTTGTTTTCCCATTCGAAACAAACTGTTAATGGCCATCGCTGAGTAAATATCAAGACATCAAATTCATCGGATGTTTGTTTTAAGTTATTTCTCCCGATCCATTTCCTATTAAAGTTAAATAAAATAAAAATTACAATCTACATCATTTGTAGAATGTCATTTAAATGATTAGAATTATATTTTGAAATTGAAAATCATCTGTATTGATTCAGATCTTCTATTAGAAAAATCCAATGAGTCGATTCGAACGTTCACGTGATCTCTTTGATTGAGTCAAAGAATAGCTCGTCTTGCGTGTGATGTAATCAATTGAAGTAATTGGAAGTTATATGTATAAGTGTGCTATGTCGATGTATAAAATATCGGTAAAATCGACAGAATTTTCCTTGAATTAAAAGATGCGTTAATAACACTTGTTAACATCTGCGGACACACGTGCACTGCAGGTGTGCTAACGCTAAAACACCTTATCTTCACTTGATTAGCATAATTGATTACTTTGTCTAAAAAAACGATTGTATTAAACACACGCGATTGTAAATCAATTGCGTTTCAACTATAATATCGAGGTACAGATAAATAATCTTATTCATCACTCCTGTTGACTTAAAAAATTTTTAAATAATTAATTAATCATTAAAAATCATTGATTATTAATCGATTATGCCCATCACTTATAAATATTTAGTTCTTCAATTATCGGTGTGTTGACCAAACAAGTTACTATATTGATACAATATTTCAAACAATTCATTTTGTTGTCTTCATCACGATGTACATGATTGTACTCACCCATGTGTAACACATAGTAGATAAAACAAGACAATACATGGTGCTATGCTTATGCTGTACTTGCACATTCTGCTGAGAAGGGAGAAACCGTTCTGTGCGAAAAGAGAGAGAGTGGAGACTGACCTGACGAGCAACGGAATTAATGGCACTTTATACTCCCACTACCTTTTTCCCACCACCATCTTTACCGTTCTTTACATTATCCGCAGCAGATGGTATTTCCTACCTGATCTTGTTGTTAGATCTTGTTGAACAGCTACATCATGAAACCTGTATTTCCACTGCCACATGTGTAATCATAAATCATATATTTCTTACGAGCGTTAAATATAATTACGTTTATAATATTATAAGAAGTAATTTATCAAAAATTATTTAAGCTTGTACAATAAATTTTAGACAATTTCCATGTGATGTATCTCTTATAATCTGTTGCGTTAAATAATCGGAATAATAATTATTTCTAATTATTTTTATACAATCATAATTACTTTTTGTTTGAAAAATAATTACGGCCTAATATAAAAATAATTACGGCCTTCACATAAAGAAAGCATAACATTAAGGATATAATTATATTTTATTAAAAATTTTATTTTTTTATATTGAATAATGTGAGAGTGAATGAAAATTTGCTGGAATTAATGTACACAATAGCTACGCATCATATCATTTAACGTCTATCTACATTAATTGTCTATCTACATTTATCGCCTGATATTGTATACAACGCGTGTCCAAAGATAAAATAGCATTTATTATCGTGTCGAGCAAGATACTTGGAAAAAATTCCAATAAAATTGTAATTAAATAGGCGTATTGGCAATATAAAGACATAACGGCGTTGGGTGACATTGCCATCTCCTTTCATGATATTTCATAATCGTTTTACAGCGAAATCATTTGTTATACTTTAGATAATCGGTATTGTTTAGATAATCGGTATTACAATACTACCTATGTGTTTTATACAAAATTAGATTTAATATTTTAATATATATTTTTTTAATAGAAATATCTTAAAGTTATCCTTTGAAGCGAAATGCAATATTCTAGTTTTGGCAATATAGTAACAGAAATAAGAGGATTCAATTAATTTTTTATTTAGCAAAAATTATACAATGATTTATCTATTTTATTTTTACAAATTATTCTATTTTTCTTTTTTATAATTAATATCACTTTCGGCATATCGTTGTATCGACAATTTGGTGCTATCGTCATACAATTTCAAAATACATATCACATCCATTTTTAGAATAGAGGAAAGTCACCGATACTGGCATAGATCTCCTAAAGCAACATCCCCTTATTTCTTAGAAACTAACTTTTGCACCTTATTAATACTAATAAAAACGTGATCTGTTTAGCTAATTAAAAAAGTGCAAACTCATAATTCATATATTTGTGGCTTATTTCTATACCAAATCAGCTAAAAACAAAGTCTATGAATCCAAAAAGAAAATTATATTACAGTGTTCTTTTGCAAATTGTGTAATTAAAATAATAGTGACTGTATTATTGATAATATTATGTCATTTTAAATGTTTATAGTGTCATAAATTAGTTTTCTTTACAGAATAGGATATATCTTTATTTATAGAATAGGAATGTTGGCATTATTGCCTATTATGTCAGTTTTGGAGCTCATTTTGTCAGACGCTCATTTTTACATAACTTACGAAAAACTTAACTATTGCAAAATTGCAAACAGTATTATAAAAACTGCTTATATTATCTGATAGAAAACACTTTTTAGTTTGTATTTATGTTTTTGAAGTTGTATTTTTACCTTTTATTTAAGAAATATTGTCTAAAAACAGAGTGGTATCGGTGACCTTCCTCTACATTTTATTTGCTTAAAGAGCATCGAGCAACACGTATGGTATAATGTCGAGACGTCACGATACAAACGAAAATAAAACACGTAACTAATGATCATATGAAATTATGACTGATGAGTTTTCCGATTATTTGAAGCATCTGGAAAGTTTTATTTGGTTGCACCCTTTGCCTCAGCAAATAATATAAGATTCCTCTAGAAATAAATAAAATGGCGAAGAGAGCGGCTAGATCCAACCAGAAATTCGCAGATGTTTCTTGTCCTGAAACGCAGAATTTGCTAAACATTTCAGACATTTATAGATTATTATCGAGATACAAAGCTTTCAGAAAACCAGGGAATGGAACTAACTAATTACTTAATTACTAACTAATTATTATAGCAATAAAAAAAGTAACGCTGTTACTTTTCTTATTGCTATAATAATAATTTGGAAACGACGAATTTTTTTTATGAGTGTAACGATAACATCAGGGTTGAAAAGTCATTCGATCGTTACTTGTAACGAGTCGGAAAAGTCATTCGTTATTGAAAAAATTAATTCGGCATTTGTAACTTTTTACTTTTTAATCGTTACTTGTAACGTTACTCGTTTCTCGTTATAAATTACCTTTTTCAGTAAATAAATACGTAATGATGCAAGTTACTTTTTAAAGTGACTTTCCCAATCTTAGCGCAATCTCAGCGTTTAGTTAGTTATCATTATAGTCATAAAAAGTTGCAACATCATTATCAAATTGTTATTATAAGAAATAACGGAATAGTAACTCTTCCATTCCTTGCAGAAAATCGTGCGCGCGATGTGCATAATAATTATTAGAGCGATTAAGCAACTTTCGAGTTTCAAGAAAAATAGAGTCCTACCTATAATTCGCAAGATTTCCTTAGGTGAGCTAAAATGACAGTAAATTTCCTCTGGCGGGCAATATAGTCTCTGTCTACCGTGACCGTACATGGCTGTTATGAGACCTTCTAGTCCGTACCGCATGTAGCTCATATACATGGGAATCGTCCGGTAGAGAGGTAGAGGCCTCGGATCGCCGAAATCTTGCACCGCGACTAACAATAACGGACAAGTTAACGCAGGTCCGACGAATATACTATTCTGAAAAGATAAGACACAGATTATTCATTGATTTTTAAGAGCTTTCCCTTTTCTTTCGCGATGCAATTTCGAACGTACCACGGCATTAAACACACTAGCGATGTTGTATCCTATACTTTCTGCGATGAAGGCACATATGAAGCAAGTGCTAAAGAACATGAAGCTTCTGTGCAACTCCAGAGGTTGTCCCGTGATGAAGTAGACCATTAAGAGATATAAAACTGCGAAAGTCATCTGGGAAAGAAATAAAAATGATTTTTAAAACGTTTGGATGGATGAACACAGATTGGATTAAGCCGAAGATTTAATATTTTAATTTATAATAATGAAAAGTTTAAACCCCTCCCATAAAAATTGCAACTATAAAAGCAAGGAAATTAGAATCTATATAGGGGTGATTTTTCTCGAGGAGACTAAGCCCCGTATTCATTATCAAGCCTTATATTTAAGGCTTCCTTAAATTTATCTTCAGATGCTCTACGAATTATTTCATTGGCTACTGAGCATCTAAAGATAAATTTAAGGAAGCCTTAAGTATAAGGTCTGACTATGAATATGGGCATAAGACTTGATTCGGATAGTGCCAAAGAAACGAATCTTTTTAGGTCACTGTATGAAATATTATATAAAAATACTATGTAAAAAAACGAATACAATTTTACAGAAAACCAACCTGAAAAGGTATATTGACTACTGTTAAGGCCCAATAATACGCACTAAGGTCGTACCATCTATTGAAGTGTTCCCGTTTCATTATCCGAATTTCGAAAGGAACTGCAATGAAAAAATAATAAATAACACGATAAAATACGATTTTAAGTTGATTTTAAAAAAATACTTTTTTAAAATAAAAAATGGCATTTTGATCATTTCTGTCTCTTCTGTAAAGAAATAATAGCATCTTTTGGAAGACTTTTGATTTTTATAATTATAGCGATTAATAAATATTACTATTTAAATTTTTTTGTATGTCATAGTCTTTATATTATATTTATGATAATATAAATATTAAGACAATATGGCACACAACAAAATTTAAATAGTAAGATGTAAGCAGTAAACAAATCAACTGCTTATATTACATCTCTACTATGATTGGCTCTTTCATTTATTGTTTAAATTTTGCTTTACATCCTTTTGTGTTTGCCATAGTCTTTATGCTTTGATTGTACGACGAATGCGTTTCCTTAAATAAATATATCGATAGATAAGATTTTAATTAGTCAGCAAACTGCTTTCTTATTTTTTTGTTCACTAATTCTATTTTTCTACGCGATGAAAAGAATTTTTCCTTACATTGCAACAGCACCGGTAGCATGGGCATGTATAGAAAAAATATCAGGCACGCGAAGCAAAAGCCGAAATTGAAGAGGGCCTTGGAGCCATCGTTGCCCATATTAAAATACATTGCGCCGATCAATATCCCCAGAAAGATGTGTAGCGATATCTTCATGTACATGTAATTCTGTAAACATACAGAGGAATTTCATTTTTGTATGCAATCCGTTTTGGAAGAGATCTAGTCAAATATCTAAAGTTTTGTTAGCTGTCTTAGGGAATGTCTACATATTTTCGTTGAGTATAATTTCTTATGTTTGAGGTGATACAAATCATTTAACTACCGATTCCAGTAAGCAAAATGACAGTGTTATACTATATGGCAATATACTAGTCAAAACTATCAAAACAAAAAATTAAAATGATTTTATTTTGATTTTTAACGTCAATAAACAGTCCAATTTTGTAATAAAAAATCATCCTTTTGACTTTCTCTTGGCTTAGGTAATTTACTAGCAGATTTGAGCAAAATATTGTACAGAAATTGGCATCAAATACATTCATATTAAATTTATTCTGCCAATATTCGATATAATCTCACAGTATAGACCGCCGAGCAGAATGTCATTTTAATATATAAATTACGAAATAGCCATCTAAATATAGATCATTTAAATGGTTATGAAATAATAGATTTTGCTCGGTTTCGGAAATTTATCAGTGGATACTTGTCAATTTCTGTTGATATTCTTATCGACAAAATTTACAGCAGACGCTTTGTAAAATTTAATTTCGACAAACTTGACTATCTAAGAATGCAAAATACGTTGAACTTACTCTGTTTCGATAAATCTGCATCATCATTCTCTTCACTAGCGTATTGAATTGATCAATCCACGAGATTTTCGGGTTCTTTTTATCAAGCTCAAACTCGCTCTTTGATCGAAAAATTGGAAGTAGCGGTAGCTTCGTGTCAACGCATGTGACTATCTGTTCGACCAAATCAAAACCGTAGTCACCCGTCGAGATCTCTATTACTGAAACGAATATTCGATGTTAATTTATATAATT